TTATCAAATAGTTAATGAAAAAGATACACATCTTGATATTGGTTTCCTCTTTATGGATAAATTTTAACCAAATATCGTTTTCTAAAATAAAATAAGGATTCCATATTATCTAATTAAAGATAAAATGTTTAATAAATAAAAGTACTACATTGTGTATCTCAAATCGATATTTTATATGGAAAATAATAATAAGGAATATTATTTGGTTTAGTGTATTCTATAATTTTTTTCCTAATAATTATACTTTTCTTAAATATATAATACAAAATACAAATAAAGATTCTATCAATATTTAAATTTTGTAATGAAATATTATATATCAACGTCAAGTTACCAATTGTGTTATAGAGGAAAAAAACTTTTGTTTTTAAAAGAAAATATTTTTTTAAAATTTTTTATATATAAATTTGAGAGTCAAATCTCTTAGAAGTTACCATGTGTCAAGCTTTAGAGATGACATGTGTCAAGCTTTAGAGATGACATGTGGCAAATTTAATATGAATTGATTTCTTTTTTATTTTACTTACTTATTTTTTATTACTAGTGTTTGACCCGTGCCACGCACGGGATCGAATTAAGTTTTGTCGATTCAAAAAATACTCTTCAATTTAATATTTTTTGATTAAAGAATAATATTTCTAACACAATTTTATAATATTATAGCCATCAACGTGAAAGTTGAATAAGTAATATTTAAAGAATTGCAAGTGTACAAAATAAAGTTTTGACATGTCTGTCTCTTGAATCATACCAAGTCTATTAATTTGAGAAATTAACACTAATGACCAATATGTTTTCAAAACTTATTTATAAAATTCACATGATTTCAAAAATTGTTCATACATTCCCTCAAACTCTCTGAGCTATTCTCTGAACATTTTCTAGGGAAGGGATATTATTGTCTCTTTTTCAAAACACATGGTAAAAGAGCTCATTTTCTATTTTCTTTTCATTTTTTGGTTTCCCCCGTTCTTATCTCATTTTTTCTTCTCTTTGTTTTTTAAAAGATTTTTTTAATTTCTTTCCTAATTTTTTTAAAATAATAATTTAAAAATTCAATATTCTTTGTGTTTGAAATAAATAAAGAATAAACAAAATCTAAAAAAAATAATGATACTCCGTGTAACTTTTGTGAACTTTTTCTACATTCTTAACCAAGTACTATTTTTATGCATTCTTAACAAATTAACAATCACAAAGCTGCCTAGGACATATGTAGAAGAAAAATCAACAACTCAAGAAGACGGGAAAAAGGTAATGAAAGGGTTGGTTTTATGGGGAGTGTTGAAATATTGGAATAATAATATTGTTCCTTGAATTATGGAGTACATGATAGAGTATATATAGGAGAGACTCCTAATACAACTAGGAATAGAGAATAGAGACTAACTAAAATACAACTTCTACCATAACTAGGAATACTTAATATTATTGTCTAACATCCCCCCTCAAGCTGAACTCTGGCTGAAGCACGAGGAAGCTTGGACACTAGCCGGAAACTGGAAACTTTGAGAAGAGAGAAGTTTGACGTGCGCCGGTGGCTGCTGACATCGTTGGAGAAGAGAGAAGTCTGACGTGCGCCGGTGGCTGCTGACGTCGTTGGAGAAGAGAGAGAAATTGACGTGCGCTAGTAGCTGCTGACATCGATGAAGAAGAGAGAAGATTCACGTGCGCTTGTAGCTGCTGACGTCGAAGAA